TTTCGCGCAAGATTTTGGGTCGGACAACAGCACCGCATTGGCTTCAGCCTCGGCCTCTGTAGTCGTCAACAACAACGGTGTCGGCAACAGCCACAGCTTATCAGTGTAGGACACCCGGTGGGCCAACACCGGAGCCTCGTGTTCTAGGTCTCTGCCCAGGCCTGTGCGCCATGTCACTGACCTAGGCCCCAGAATTGACCATCTCCATTCATTTACGGTACGAAGTTAATGATTACTAGGAAAGGGGAAAGGGGATGGATAGATTGGGACAAGGGAGCATTTGAATGGATATTCAACAGATTCAAGCATTTGGAAGCGGAGGCAGGGGTCCGAATGACATACGACATAGTATCAAGAAACCTCACTCGCATCTTCAAATAGAAGCTTTTTACATAAAAAAAATAAAATAAAAAAAAATAAAAATAAAAAAAAAAAGACTTGCTTCGATTGTTCTTGAATTAAGCCTCTCTTGGGCTTTTTTATTAATAGCACGGCTTGTTCGCTGCGATGAGCCCAAATAATGCAGCGTAAATGAAAAGGTGCGCTTCCCCAGACTCTAAACAGAAATGGCGGCATTGAATGCAGCCACACTGGCTCTGGCTATATTACGGCTTCGATATTACCACCGTGCTTTGCTTCTCTGCCGAATTTTCGGCGCTTCTAAGCATAATCCTGTCTCTCCCAATCTATGCCGAGATTGTAGATTGCAAGTCTTAATGAATATGAAGACTTGGACAATGTGTATCCGCGTCGCTCCCGTGCCCCAAAGAAATCAAAATACAACAGATCTGCCGAGTTCATCCTGTGCCTTCCATGTCATAAGATCGCAAGTAGATCTCGAACAAGTCTGCCGAGGATTTGCAGCCAACATCGCAAATAAGCAGCCCTCGCTTGGCACGTCTTTGCTGTGGTCTCTGCCGGGGTCTGGGCACTATCCGCCTTTTCCAGTGATAGATTGCTGCGGGCCACCGCCGCGCAAAGGTCTTCTTGCCCTTCCTCCCCAGGTCACTCTGCGAATGTGGGGGAGCCCACCATGACGGCGATAGACGGACCGTTCGGTTCCAGTGTCGGGCCTGTTGCCGACGAGGATGGACCAGTGTCCAAGATATTGCTCTCTATCTCATGCACGCCCGTCTTGGACAAAAAGCCGGGTTTGAGCAATGCGTGGAGGGGTGTCGAGATGCGAGGGCGGGCGCTTGCCGGCCGGTGATATATAAAAAGACAGTTGTCTCGCCTGCCTCATTACAGAGTGCAAGATGTAAGTACACTGTGTGGGACACAACCTAGTTTGCGACCAAGCACAGCATCACAAGACTCTGCACAATCATTTTCCGAATTATTTTATTTATTCTTTTTGCTTGGCTGTCCGTTCTTGTCATTGGCATACTTCATCATGAAGTTCTCGACGGTCACGGCCCTTGCGTTTGGCGTCGGTGTCCAAGCGCACTGCATCTTCCAGGTAAACACATACCGTCGCCTCAAGCGCCATATGTGCTCCTTGCTAACACCTCTCCCGTATAGCAAGTGTCGGTCAACAGCAAGTCGTCCGGCCAGCTCGTGGCGCTGCGCGCACCCAACAACAACAATCCCGTGCAGGATGTCAACAGCAACAGCATGATCTGCGGCCAGCCCGGGTCGACCTCGCAGACGGTCGTGGACGTTGCGCCCGGTGACAAGGTCGGTGCGTATTGGCAGCACATCATTGGCGGCGCACAGTCTCCCAACGACAAGGACAACCCGATTGCGCACTCGCACAAGGGCCCCATCATGGCCTACCTGGCCAAGGTCGACAACGCGGCGTCAGCCTCGCAGTCCGGCCTCAAGTGGTTCAAGATCGCCGAAGACAGCTTCGACACCAGCAGCAAGCAGTGGGGCGTCGACCACATGCTGTCCAACAACGGCTGGTCGTACTTTACGATGCCGTCGTGCATCGCCCCGGGCGAGTACCTGCTGCGCGTGGAGATTCTGGCGCTGCACTCGGCAAAGACGACAGGGGCCGCGCAGTTCTACCAGTCGTGTGCGCAGATTCGCGTGTCCGGTTCGGGCACGTTTACGCCGGCGGCCTCCGACCTGGTGTCGTTCCCCGGCGCGTACAAGGCGGAGGACCCGGGCATCCACATCAACATCTATGGCCCGATGGGCCAGCCGGACATGGGCGGAAAGCCGTACACGGCACCGGGGCCGAAGGTGATCCAGTGCTAGAGGGGCGCTTGCGTATGTGTACGAAACCGAAACTGGACTGGATATCGAGGTCGAGTCGATAAGGTGTGGACACATGACGCTTGGCAGAACGCAACAGAGCAAAAGCCTTGCCGGCGCACGTTCCAGCACGGAGTACATGGGGCCTGGCCCATTCTGTTTTTGTTAGCATTTTGCCAAGCATGTTTTAGCATCCCCGAGCTTCGTTCTACCGCGTTCTGCGCATGTTCTTCCTCATGCTTCTCCCGAAACTTGCCAGTCCCCTCTTTACCGCCATCTCATTTGCCTTCCAGGTCATCTGGACTTTCTGTGTGCTAAACCCCATTCATGCTGTACCAACTTTGCCCGCCCCGGGCCTCTCCACGGCTATTTCTTTTCTTTTGTTTTCCTAGCAGAGAAAAGAAGTGTAGGCTCCGCAACTCCATACTGTGCACAATGGACCTGATCCCTTGTCGGGCTTGGCCGGTTCTCGCAGCGGACCGTCCGTGGCGGTGGTGTGATAGGTCAATCAGATAGATGGGTGTGGTACTTTGTGTGTCGGAGTGGCTCGTGTGTTTTTGCCCAAGAGGCCTGTCAAGTCTTGGGGCTTGCTTGGCCCGGCCTGGACTCGCGCTTCGCGCCTTCTCGCTGTCGCGTTTGGACGTAGTGGGACCTTCTCCGCCGTCCGAGGAAATATGGAGTCCACCAAAATTGTTCCTTCTTGTTTCTTTATTTTCTTTTTTTTAAACTGGTGTTTCCGTTCGTGCTTTCCTCGTTAGTCCCGTTCTCATTTTGTCTTTCTTTACTAGGACCAATTTGTTTTCCTTGCCTCAGTGATGGTCGCCGGATGGAGAATAGGTCATGGCTCTTCGATCGTCTCCGGGCTACAGTACGAAATGCCGGCGCTTCGTATGGCGGCGCTTTTCGTCTCGTACTACTTGTTCTAAGTAGAATCTGTTTCCTCAGCCTGATGGCAACTTCATAAAAAGTGGAGCGATCGGAGGAGCCGGCAATGGCGACTCACACCGTTGACAAAAAGGGAAGGGCCATACGGCAACGGTCGACGAGACGACGAAAGAAATGGCAGGTGCAATGGTGCAGAGTCAAGAGTACGTCCAGCGCAAGTCCAGAATGCGTGTACGAAGCATTGTTTTTGGACGGTGAGCAGGTAGAGAAGGATGGCCAGAAGGCCAGGATAGGTCAGGATAGGTCAGGATAGGCCAGGTCCGGTCTACAATACATCGTACGCACGCAAATGCAAATGCCATGCACATCTAAAAGCCGCACCATGTCTTAAAAGGCCAGGGCCAAGTCGGTGTCAGGCCAAGTCGGCATCGGCACTCACCGGCTCGCTTGGGGCAAACAACAGGAACTGCAATGCCATATTACTCTGTGCAGCATCATTGCGGTGAGACAAGCGTACCTGAGCGTTGGTGGTCGCCGTCGAGATTGAGAACGGCCCGGTTGATACGAGCGAAGCTGCTTGGTAAAAAGCGTGGTGTGTTCTCGGTCCAGTTCTGTCTTTTAGTGTGCTGTTCTTTCTCAGAAACCGGCGACGATCGATTGGGTGGCTACCGGCTTGGGTAGGTGCGGTTCTTTACCAATTGCGGTGCTTGCCATTGGGGGTTTATTCCACGCTATCGGCCTATGTGCGCTGTGCTTGATTTGTTTCCAATGCTTCCTCATTCCGTCTTGCCACTTACAGCTGGCTCCTTTCCTACGGAAAAGCTCGGGGTTCGGGTGCCACCCACGGTGAGACTGAGCAGTCTGGTGGGTGGAGCTCGGCGCCCCGTAAATCTCTGCAGCAAAAGCCCGCCAGGAGCCCCAGGAAAGCTGCCGGACGATCCACAATGTATCTTTGCAGCGCCAATCATACGTGGAGGTACGTCGTATTTCTGATACTTCTGTCCCAGTAGCTAACGCACGACGCTGCGGCTCGCCCAGTCCGTTCACCATTGCTGCACACTGAGTAAGGTACAAGCGGCATTTCACCTACACCGCATGACGCCAGCCAAGAAGCTCCCGTTTGCAAGTATCGCACACTAGATCGCCAGACCGCAGTCGTCGTTCATCGACATCGCAGATGTTCTCTCAGGTGTTTCGTAGAGATTCTCAGTTCCTTCCTTTCCGTCGCCCATCTTCTCGTACCAATTGATAGACCATGAGCTTCCTCGTACTTTCAACGGGCAGTGTCACCGTCGCCAGTGAGGAAAGGCGCCGCACAATACATCGTTTCGCAGGCGTGGCCGAATGCTGTCATTGAGCCAATCTCATCATTGTCCATCTCTGTGCTCTCTTCTACAGCCTCCCAGCTGCGTCGTATCGCGCCGCAGTTCGAAGCTGGTGTCTGCTGGCCGATGAGCGTAATCAAGCTTTTGATCCATGGGCATACTCCTCCGTCCGCGGTATATCCACTGTGGGACAACTTAATCAGCGCTGCGAGACATTTCGAGGCCGCTCCGCACAGGGGACACGACCGATATGAGATGAGAGACCCCATCGCCTTACGTATTCGTAGAAGAGGATGCCGCCCGGAGTAGCAATGTGCTCCGTATTACTGCGGGACAGGCGAATCTCTATTTGTTACGATATATCTTACGACGCCGCCGCGCTGTCCCAGATATGGAGGTATCTTGCTTAATTTCCAGAATGGAACAGAGACTTGCGCCAGCTCCGTATACAGTAGCGCACTGAGTATTTCGTACGGGAGTACCATGTATGGGAAAGAGGATCCTTGCCAGGGCAGGCCAGCCAATGGAGCAGGGGCTGGGAAAGGCGAGCCATGGCGAGAGAAATTCGCGCAGCCAGCCTGCCCAACTTCCTTAGCCCTGCCGTCTTCCGTCCGCGACTATTACCGTGACAGGGCCTTGAAGGCTAACAGCTTCTTGTCCTGGCCTGGCCTGGTGCCATTGTGAGCCCTCGGTGGCTGGCACTGTGTCCACCGCGAAACGAAATGCCGCGTCCGTGCCGCGTTCTGGGTTGTGCTGTTGTGCTGTCCTATTTTGATGAGAGCGCACAGGCAAGTCAGAGGTGCGACCGCCAACCACGCGCCGCACCACTATCAACACACGGACAAAAAGCAGACTGTCATCGAGAGCTGCCATCTTGGTCCCGATCAGGGAGCACGAAATGAAACAACAGAGGACGGCGCAAGCGGACAAATCCTGCCATCAATCCCCCCTCGCTAGAATAGCACACGAGAAGAAGAAACCCGTTTCCATGGTATCGCAGAAGCGGCCAGTGAGCTGCTGAGCGACATCCAAACAACCCGAACCAGAAAGCACTAATTCCACGCACACACCACCGCGACCGCTTTTGTACACTAAGAGCCACCCTCCTCTCCAGACATGCCTATGACAAGTGCGGCTCGCTGTGACTCGCGCGCTTTCGCCTGTTGCTTTCTTGGTTCCAGGGGCCCGTGCTGTCGTTCGTTCGTCGTTACCTCTACTTTGTTTTTTCCCTTGTTTCCTCTTCTTTCCAGCCTTCCTACTCCGTACGGAGTCTGTTTGTAATTAATTGCCTTCTTTGCTTTGTTCACGAAATCTACGAAATACCTCTCATCTCTTTCCCCGTCCCCATCTCCACTTCCTCCGGCTTCTTGCTGTCCTCTGTTGTTCTCGTGTCGACATAAACAATTGTCGCTCGCCAATCTCCTCTGCTTCCCGCGCCGGATCCGCTCTGTTTGTTCTCATCACAATAAAAGTTAAGGTACGAAAGAAACCATCAATTCATCTGCTGCGTCGAATCGAATAAATCAATTCGAGGTACAATTGCTTCCTTCATCGCACCGTCTTCCCCATTCTTCATACTTGCGCTTTCGTCGTCCTTGTATTTTGCTGTCAAGCGACGGCAAGCAAGAGAAAAATACAGGCCCAAAGAGAGAAAATATACAACACAATTAAACCGGGTCGCCAGAAGCTAAAGCTAAGCTTTTCGCCGCCTCCGGAACTCGCGGCGATAACAAGAAAAATTGCGAAAATAAAATAAAATAACAAAGCACCCACCCAAAAACAAAGAAAAAAGACTCGCTACGATTTTTTTTGCTTACCTGCCGACCTACCCTGGACGGAAAAAAGGCGCATCAAAATAACGTCACGCTACCCCCAAAGCATCCCAAAACCACCCTACTGGCCGCTCTTTCCTCCCCAGTCGCGCCGTCGAATTTCCTCCTTCTTTTCTTCCCTTCTCTTTTCTTTCCTTCTTCGTCCTTTTGCTTCTTTTTATTCTCTTCCTCATCCTTTCATCTTCTCTTCCGCCCACCACTAACTCTCCGCCTCTCCCCCCCTTTCTTCTCCAGACTTTTTGTCACCACACAACACAATCGCAATGGCCGCCATCCGTTCCATCACACTCGCTGCGCGCGAGGAGGCTGTCGCCCACATTGCCAAGCGTTCCAACTGGGCCGGCCGCGAGGCTGGTGTCATTGTTGTGTTCGCCATCGTCTTCGTCGTCGGTGTCGGTCTGATCGGTCTGTGGATCCACAAGCTGCTGGCCGCCCGCAAGGCCGCCCGGGCTTCCCAGAAGTAAGCTGTCCCGCGAGGGCGGCGAGACGGGGAAGGAGACGGAGGACAACCGATGGGAGGAGCGAATGCGGGAGAGACAATGAGCTGTCTGTCGTTGTCCCGGCGGCAGGCTACAGGAGGGGAGGGTGTCGTCACTGGAGGACGAGGGTGAAACGGACGTGTGTTGCGTGGCCTCCTAATATTGGATGAGGCGTTGAACGGCTGTCTGTGCCTCGTTTTCGATCACAGAAAGCCGTGCGCTCTCTCTACGCTCTGTTTGTTTAGAAGGGAGCTTCCGGCCACAAAACGACGCGCTTTCTTTTCTTTTATTCATCATCACGCCTTTCATTCGGCCATGTTGCGACAATCTCGAGAACCAATCAACAAAACGAAACAAAAAAAAAAAAACTCGACTCGTGCCGCAAACCAGTCAACGTTCAATCCCGGTCGTCGGAATATGCGCTGGATTGTCGCAATGTACAGCAACACGCTCGGCATTGGCCCGTGTCGGCGATCATCCGGCAAAGCAAACCCATCTTGCACTGCTCCGGCCATTCTTGGCAAGGGAACGAATCACTCGAAATCGCAGAAAGGAGATGACAAAAGGAACACCAGGCCGTCGTCTTTCTATGCGCACCTCTGCGCAATTCCACGTTTCTCAACTGCATTGCACAGGGGCGTGTCAACAAAAATACCTCTACTTTAAGCACGTTGGCTTCGGCTCTTTTTTTCGCTATACAACACACGACGATCGATATCGGGCAAGGACCGACCGCTTGTTGGATAGAGTCGGATAAAGACAGCTGGTTATTTTTGATGTATACCTTGTCATATTTGTGTATTCCTTTTTTTTTTGTTTCTGCTGATATCACTGTAGAACGCATTTGACATTTTTTGACTACTTTTTCGCTTCTTTCCGCATGAATATTCGTGACTTCATATGTGCGTAACATGGTTTTCCATTCGCAGAACATACCGCATCAACCCATCAACCGCTGCTGCATCACCGGCCAAGCCCTCCACTTTCGAGATGAACAAATCACCAGAGACAATCTCATGAAACGGTCATTCTATCGAGGTGGATAAGGCCTTGCTTGGGCTTTTGAAGTGCGAGTCGTTAGTCGGTCAGTCAAGATCGTCAGAGTGAGAGTGAAAAGGAAATCGAGAGACATCGCAAAAACGCACCGGAATATACTGCCGCAGGCGCACACCGGCCTCTTCGAAGACGGCGGCCGTCTCAGCGTCCATGCTATAGCCCTGGCTGTAAACCACCTCGCCGATGCCGACCTGCACGATCTTGATGCTACAAGTCAGACACGGGCAGGTATCGCAGTACAGGATCGTGTTGGCAAGCGACGCCGTCGGGATGCGCTCGCGCCCAGCCTCCAGCAGCGCATTCTCTTCGGCGTGCAGACACAGACACGTCGCCAGCGCGACACCCGCTCCCAAGCCGCCGTTGCACCGCCCGCAACCGCCCTCGCCGCAGTTGCGCAAGCCGCGCGGCGTGCCATTGTAGCCGGTGCTCACGACGCGCTTCTCGCGCACCAGCACACAACCCACGCGCCGCTTCATGCAGTTGCTGCGCTGCGCGGCGAGCGAGGCCAGCGACATAAAGTAGCGGTCCCACGACGGCCGCAGCAGTTGCTCGACGCCTTCCACATCCAGCCCGGCCTTGTCGAGGGCCGCAAACAGCGGCTCCGTCGACAGCGTCTTCTCCTCGAGCCCACCGTTGGCAAAGCGCATCGCCGCCCGGGCCATGATGGGCAGCAGGGGCGCGTATGCCTTGGGCCCGCCGCCGTACAGCTGGAAGTCGGACTCGGTGACAAACGTCTCGAGGTCCATCGGCTCCTGGCTCTTTGTGCGCCGCTGGGCCCGCCGCCAACGCACCGCGACAGGGGCGTCCACGCTGATGAGCAGGAAGAAGGGCCGCCGACCAAAGATGTCCAGGACGGGCTCGCTCGCAACGTCGGTGGTCACCCAGCGCTCCCGCCAACGCAGCGTAACAAAGTCGAGCAGCTCCTCGGCCGTGGCAAAGGTGGTCTGCGCGCCAGGTGACGAAGACGATGCCACGTCAGGGCCCGTGTCACCGCCGGCATTCGCCCGGATGCTCAGCCGTGTAAAGCCATGGCGCTCGACCAGGTACTGTGCAACCGTCGACTTGCCCGCACAGATGCCTAAGCGGTGGTACAGTACGGTCAGCCTAGAAATCAACATAAAAACACATACGCAGCCCACAGAGTAGAGTCGCCATGCATACTTCCACAGATTCCAATCAACATTGTCGTATGATGGTTAGCAACCAGTCCTGAATTTGCCTGTTGAATAGCTGCAGAGCGTCTCGTTCCCGTCAAACCCAGATTGCAATAAAACCGCAGTGAAACACAAAGTCTTGCAGTTATCGACCAGAAGACCCCCGTGTTCAATTGCTCCACCAGACAAATACCTCTTGTCAACCAAAAACGAAAAACGCGAACGCGGTGGGTGTCCCTTCTAAATTACGCCTCTCCACGCGTTCCCGCAAACGACGCGACGGGGTTTGGCCCCAGTAGCGCCCAGCTCTTACGGCATCTTACCCTGCAGTGGTCGTGGAAGACTGAGCAGAATGTTACAAATTGTAAAAACAGACTGAAAATGTGTGAAAGCCTTGCTTGGCGTCAGGCAAAGCTCACATTAAGTTGCACACAAGCAGAGACGAGTCCTCTTCCTCGTCCTGTTTATAGAGAACATGACTAAGACTTCATATGAACGAATGGAAACAGCAGCCCACACGGGACTGACACTCCGTCTTGGCCAGGTGACTTACTTTATGATTCCATCTTCTCTCACGCTAGAACGCACCTGCCTCCATCTTCACATAGCGCTGTAATCGTTTCTTGCCCTGCTGTTGCCTGACTTCTGCCTTCGCTCATGGGTCACAGGCCTAGTGTGAGGCCTGGCCAGGTCCCAAGCTCTTGCCGCGTGACGCAATGCTAGCTGATTAGCGAGCAACCAGGCATACAAGAAAGCCTATGCAACTAGCTGTCTCAGACAGGTCTAGGCGGCTTCTTCTGCAGGGCGAGCTGTGCCGTTATTATTACCCCGCTCATCCACCATTTCACTATGGCTTTTTGTACGTCGCAATTACGTCGTATGTCATCCGGCCAAGACTCACACCAAACCGACGGTTTGCAGGCCTAGTTCCGTAGGTCTAGGCGGCTTCTGCATTGCTTTGATATGCGCCTTCCTTAATACCAACGACTGTCGTTTTGCCTCCTGCCGTGTCTTCCTTTATGCCTCGTAGCTTGTCCTTTACTACAACGTACCACCGTGAGCGCAAACGAAGCATATTGTTAGACACGAACGACGAGCTTCCCTACCGCAGCACTTGCGACCCTTTATTCCTCCGCGAGCAGAGCTGTTACGCAACGACTGTCGACCGCCACCGATACATCCGCAGCGTAGCCAAGAAAAGCTGGCATCACGCAACTCGTTGCGAAGAGCAACAGATAGAACAAGCCCTTAAAGGGGAGGAGGAGATACAACACGCACACGCACATAGACAAGGAGACGGAGACGGGCACGCCTGCAACCGCAACCATGGCCGGCCTCCAGTTTGCGACATTCAACTCGCTCGTCGAGATGCCGTTCTACTCGGCCCTATTTGCCTCCAAGCTCGACCATGACAAGCTTGACGACTCTGCGCGCGCCGTTTTGGGCCTGTACGAGCCGCGCGGCGAGAAAGACCCGAGCATCAGCTCTCAGATGCAGATTCAAGGCGGGGCCTTGACAAATAACCAGTACGTACGGCCGCGTGGCCACGGTCGACAAGTCGTCAAGATACAGCGCTACGGGTTTGAAGGCAAGCGGCTAACCAGGATGTAGAGCACCATCGGGCATGATCCGCGCAGAGGGCATTATCAAGAACTTCAACACGATAGAGGACTTCAAGCAGGCAGACAAGGCTGCTATGATGCATACGGCGGCCCGCCAGGTAGGCTGGGCTGGACGCCTCAACGTTCACAGGCATCACAAAGACTAACCGCGTGTTGTACAGATCTGGGATGCGATCAAAGACGGAAGCATCTATGAAGTTCCCTCCCTTCTCTCCTCCTTCAACATCATTTCGTTTGCCGATCTCAAAAAGTACCGCTTTACCTACTGGTTCGCATTCCCAGCCCTCCACTCCGACCCGCAGTGGAAGCGAACCGGCGCGGTCAGCCAGCTCGGGAAGAAGGAGACTCTCCAGCTCGTGGACAAGGTCGGCACATGGCGCTATGCGACGGACGGTCGGCAGCACGGTTTCTTCCTCGCCAAGCGGGTGCCGATTGGCAACTCCGGTAGCGGTGGCGGTGATGCTGGTGATCGTGAGAGCGAGCGCAGAGGCGAGAGCGGAGACGGCGAAGATGGCGGTGGCAGCGTCCGCTCGCGCGATTCTGCGACATTCTTGGGCCCAGACGAGATCGAGCTTGGGTTTCGGTGGGAGATTGGGTCCCTGCGGGACGGTGAAACGGGCTTCTTTAGCGACGTTCCTGAAAACGACCAGTACATCGCGTTTGTCGACCCATCAACGTACCCCGAAAACCCGTCTTGGCCGCTGCGCAACCTGCTCGTCCTGGTTCGACAGCGGTACCATCTGCGTAAGGCGCAGATCCTTTGCTACCGCGACACACAGGCGCGGCGCGACGAACCGCGCAGCATCGTCCTGCCGGTGGAGCTCGATGGCAATATTGAGCAGATGCAGACGTCGGAGATGCCCAAGGTGACTGGCTGGGAGCGAAATGCGAACGGCAAGCTGCAGGCCCGCTTGGCGAACCTGGCCGACTATATGGATCCCGCGCGGCTCGCTGACCAGGCCGTCGATCTGAACCTCAAGCTGATGAAGTGGCGCATCTCACCCAATCTGGACCTCGACAGCATGAAGAATATGTCGTGCCTGCTTCTCGGTGCAGGCACACTAGGTAGCTATGTATCGCGCAACCTGATGGGCTGGGGCGTGCGGCGCATCACATTTGTCGACTACGGCTCCGTCTCGTTTTCGAATCCCGTGCGCCAGCCCCTCTTTGAATTCAAGGACTGTCTTCAGGGTGGCGCACCCAAAGCAACCCGCGCGGCCGCTGCACTCGAGTCGATCTATCCCGGTGTCGAGGCCGAGGGCCATGTTCTCTCGGTCCCAATGCTTGGCCACCCTGTCGTGGACGAAGCAAAGACACGTGCCGATTATGAGAAACTCGAGGCGCTCGTTGACAGCCATGATGTCGTCTTTCTTCTCATGGACACGCGCGAGTCCCGGTGGCTGCCCACGATCATGGGCAAGGCCAAGGGCAAGATTGTGCTGAACGCGGCGCTCGGCTTCGACACATATGTGGTTATGCGCCACGGCGCGACACCCCACGACGGCTCGGAAGATACGCTGGGCTGCTACTTTTGCAACGACGTCGTCGCTCCCACCAATGTAAGCCCATTTCGTTTTACCTTTGTCTCCCAACCTTCTTCTCAAATGCTAACCCCCTTCGTCTTAGTCCGTCAAAGATCAGACGCTGGATCAGCAGTGCACCGTGACACGGCCAGGTGTGGCAGCCATCGCTTCGGCGCTGCTTGTCGAGCTATTCGCAAGCATCATGCAGCATCCGTCACGACACCACGCTGGCGCGCCGAAGACCTCAAAGCGCTCCAGCGAGGCGCCAAGCTACGAGCGCGACCCCGAAGATCACCCGCTCGGCATCGTTCCTCACCAGATCCGCGGCTTCCTTGCCAACTTCCAGAATGTGCTCATCCACGGCAAGTCGTATGCGCAGTGCAGTGCCTGCAGCCGGCCGATCCTCGATGCCTACCGCAAGGAGGGCTGGGACTTTGTCAAGAAGGCGCTCGGCGACCGTGAATATGTGACGGAACTGTCGGGCCTGGCCGAGATCCAACGCCAGGCTGAGGCTATGGCCGAGGCACTCGACCTGAGCGATGATGATTTGGAGGAAGACGATGGAGAGGCTGTTATGCTGTAAATGTTTCCAAGGCCTTGGCCTACGTCTTTTGTCGGAAGCGGCGTTTTCTGTAATGATATTGGGCGCGTTTTATTTTATTCTATTTTATTGGGAGAGGCGTTTCCATTCAAATTTGAATTCCGTCACACATTTGAATTAATTTTTGTTGGTTCGATATTATTGTACAAAAAGTGTCTTATCATTTTTTTTATTTACTAAATTGGGCTCTGTCACCTCCCACTGCAAAAACCTGGGTCTCATGGCTCACTTTTTTGAGATGCTGTCATTAATGACAGCTCTTCGCCGTATATCCACATCGTTCAATCAACTGCTCCGAAATCATAGACAGTCATGAGGGCAGTCGCGATGCCCCCGTGCTTCTCACAGTACTGCGCGTGGGGCAGAGCTTTGTTTCTGGCATGGAAGTTGCACGCGCATTACATCCCCACTTTTTGACACATTCCGTCGTGTTGGCACCTTCCCCGTGTTATTAATGCGCCCCAGAAAACCGACCTTTGTATCTCTGCACGTCGTACGAATTACGGACTACAACATACTCCGTAATTACAGGGCATCTGTTACCTAAAGTTCCTTTCCCCACAAAACATCCAACTTCGTTTGATCTGTTCTCCAAGCTCGCTTCACGCCTTCTCTTCCAGTTCGAAAGCAATCCGTTCGTTATCTGTCGGCTTGCGCCAAGATTCGCCGGACATCTCCTTTTATTGCGCCCTTGGCACGCTCCTTACATTTCGAGGTTCCGAATTTCGATCTTTACCAGCTTTTGTCGTGCCTGAAACGGTACAAGCGACTCTTTTGTCCGACGTCGTGAACCAGTCCCTTTCCCTCCTTATCGCTCGGCATACGACAGCAGACACGGCGGATCACGCGCCTACGGTATAATCGAGCCTAGGGACTGAAAAATAACAAAAGAAGCCAGGCTTGCATCGTCTAGGAAGCACTGGATCAATCAGGAGCTACGGGTGTACTGTACATCGGCACCGCACAATGGCGCTCCGCTCGCGCTGGTCGGCGATGGCTGGCCGGCTGTTCGATTTTGGATCCTACCGTACGGTCTCCGTACACGACTATGCAAACGTCCTCGTGCCCCTGGAAGAAGCCCACGACTATAGCCATGCCGCCCGTACGGGGCGCCGGTCTGAGTACGAAGCGCCACCAGGCGAGGACGATAGCCATGGCGTTGATGACGAGGACGAGGACGTCGAGAGCGGCAGCCGAACCGACCTTGACAACGGCGAGCGGCGAAAGCACACGGGCAAGTCTCGGCGTGTGGGCCCGGCCGACGACGAGGAAGATGAGGACGACAATGAAGCATCCGCGGCATCTGGTATGCTGCCGATGCGGGCCTGCGAATACAGCATTGAAGGCCTGCGGCGGGAGGTACGGAAAAGCCCTGACGGCAGCAAAGAGGGGCCACGGCGATGGACAGACTATGAATGTGCGTTCCCCCCTACATTTTCGTGGCAAATGTCCCCGATGCTCCATCTCCTGCCCCCCTCTGCTGACAAATATGCAGTAAAATCGAAGCTCATCAATAAAGCGATCCAAGATATCGGCATGGGCCGATACAACTGGCAGCTCTTCTTCTTGTGTGGATTCGGCTGGTTCGCAGACAAGTAAGCCACAACCAGGTTCTTTCGATTCTGAAATGTGCACCTACTGACATGTTGGTTTACTCTTCCTTGCAGCTTATGGATGCAAGTAAGTATATTGTAGCCCGACAATTTAGGTCTGGTACACTTGCTTTCTAATCAAACCCTAGGGTATCTCCTTGATTCTCCCGTCATTATCAGCCGAGTTTGGAATCGCAGAGAAGACCGTTCGTTACACTACGAGCGCGCTCTTCCTCGGACTTTGCTTCGGTAGCTTTTTCTGGGGCATCGGCTCCGACGTAATGGGTCGCCGGCTCGCTTTCAACTGCACCCTTCTGATTACCAGCATCTTTGGCACGCTGGCCGGCTATGCCTCTTCATGGGGCATGGTGTGCTTCCTCGCTGCTGCCCTTGGTTTCGGCGTCGGCGGTAACTTGCCCGTTGATGGTGCTCTCTTTCTAGAGTTCCTGCCAGACGCTTCCAGCTCACTTCTTACACTTCTCTCTGTTTGGTGGCCCGTGGGCCAGCTGTGCTCCTCGCTCCTGGCGTGGATGCTGATTGCAGACAGCAATGCAGAGGGCTCTCCCGACGTCACGAGGTGGCGGGGGTTTATTAAGGCAATTGGCATCATAACATTCATTATGTTTGTCGTCCGCTTTTTCGTTTTCCGCCTATTTGAGTCTCCAAAGTATCTACTTTCACGGGGCCGTCAGAGCGAAGCAATCGCCGTGATCCACGGCGTAGCGCACCGCAACGGCACCAAGACATGGCTCACGGAGGAAATCCTGGAAGCTGTGGCCGAGGACAGCGAGGGCGGCCCTTTTACCGCAGCTGCGAATGGGAGAAACAGCTTTGTTGGCTACGATGCTACCAACAACGATGACGACGACGATGAGGCGGGTCTATTCGACCATGGTCGTCAGAGCAGCGCGACTGCTGCGCCGCACGGCCGCAAGCCTCAGACGGGCTCCGTTATTCGTGACCGCCTGAAAGCCTTCTCAGGCGACCGATTGCGGCCTCTCTTCCACACGCGCCAGCTTGGCATGGCCACGGCGATTATCTGGTTCGTGTGGGCTACGATCGGCATGGGCTATCCGCTGTTCAACGCTTTTCTGCCGCAGTATCTCTCCCATGGCGGGACCGCATCGCCCTCTGCGCCTGCGCTATTGGCATTCAGAGACGAAGGTGCTGGTGCAGCTGCCGACACGCCCATAAGCGTGACCTACCGCAACTACGCCATCACTAGCATCGTCGGTGTTCCCGGCAGCCTTCTTGCTGCCTACACGGTCGACAATCCTTCGCCGTTCCTCGGCCGTCGTGGTACGCTGGCTGGATCGACGTTGATCTCCGCCATTTTCTTGTTCTTCTTTGTCACATTCGGCCATTCGCCCGGCTCGCAGCTGTTCTTCTCGAGCGTTGGGGCGTTCTCTCAAAACATTATGTACGGCGTCCTCTACGCCTTCACACCCGAGATCTTCCCGGCCCCCGTCCGTGGTGCCGGCACGGGCGTGGCCTCTTTCCTCAACCGTATTACGGGCCTAATCGCTCCCGTGATCGCAGCGACGTTGCCGGGCGATGGCGCGACGGGGCCCATCTACCTGTCGGCCGTGCTCATTTTGTCAGCGTTTTTCGGTATGATTATGATACCCATCGAGACACGTGGCCGCCAGCGGCTATAGAGCGTTTATTTTGGGCGTGTCTGCTTGAAAGGCTTTGATTTTTATTGTTTATTGTTTACGTTGCATAATAGAAGAGACACGACATGTAGGATACTTTTTGATACGACACAAGCATTTGGAGAGGTCTTTAGAAATTTTATTCTTTGGCATTTTTTTTGTTTTATTTTTATTCACTATTTCCCACTGATACACTTTTCTTGTGCCTCCTTCACCCGGCTGTGCCTCCTCCAGAGCACATGGCTACGCACAACGACGGAAGAACGGAAAAAGCCACGAGTCGAAACGGACGAGGTACAAATTGACATATATATTGCTTTTTGAGGCTGCGCCACGCTTTAAATAACCCAACAGGAAAACTAACCCCCCAAAAAGGAAAAAAAAGGCCCCAGTAACATCGAGACGCTTCCCCGGTCCGGTATACAACCTTGGCAAAAACTACAGTCACATTGAAACTACGAGGATGGTCGATTCGGGTTATAGGCCATCGATCCGGTCAAAATCTACTAGTACATACTTTTGAGACAAAAAGGGGCACGTACAGCAGGTTTTCCAACGACCATTACCTTCTTGGCAGACTCTATATGAGCCACGACGTGGCTAAGAACAGATTCATTGCCACCAGCCAGACAACACGGAAGTGTCCTGGTACGACGGGATGTGAAGCGAAAGCCAGGGAAGAAAGCCATCGCGGAACGGAAGGGGAATCTATGGAAGACGCCGGGCCGCTGCTCAACAAGGAAGCTGGATTTTTATGTATCCCGGATTGCGGGTTCCGTATCGATATACTTGCTATATGCTCTTCAAGTGTTGCTATATTTGGCACCGTGTATGTTTCCTAATGCTACGTGATGAGGTGGAAGAAGTGGAAGCGTCGACGATGAAAAAGATGAGCTCACATACAAGGGTGCTTGCACATGAGGCGGAGATCGTATTGAGCCGTTGAAATGAGCCGGCTGGAGTCGCCAGCGGATACTGGCAATGTCATCCTGTCAGGTGCACACACGTATTAGGTGGAAAATAAAAAGAAACAAGGCCAGAGAGACAAAACGAAGATGACATGGAATCGAAACCATTGTGAGTCGAACTGATATGCAGGGTAAACGATCGTTTGAATCGAGGACGGTTATTGACGGTTCTCCAATTCCTGGTATTTTGTTCTTCTATCTATCTCATTAATGAAGTCTGTTGGCATACTGTGCCTCTTATAGGCCAATTTGACGACTTAATATGTAAACATGATAGACGCGCCTTGAGTTGTGTCTATTTTTGCATTTATTTTCGCTGCCATCGAGCGCCAAGGATGAAATGGGAATTAATATCAGGAGGATCTCGATTTTGCCGTGAATCCCTCTCCTATTGCCCCCTCTCCCCATTCTGACTTGTGTTTCTTTCTATTTTCCTAATTTTTACACTCACTGACGTGATATTCTTGACATAGTCGACCACGTTTCTTTTGCTCTCGGGCCTGACAGTTTCCAAACGTCACAACACCATAGTAGCTAACGGTTTAAATGCCCGGCCAGGCGACTGTACCCCAGTGCCGCAGGCCTGCATGAAATAACAGAGCCAGGTTAAACAGCAAAACGCCGAAGAAAGGTAACGCACGACATCTATAACCCTATTTTGGGACGGAAACATGGAATCTTAGCAGGGGAGTCAGGGCAGAATCAACCGAAGTCCGTCACCTTCCTTATTGAGAACTCATTGAAACGGCCGCGATTAATTGAAGTTGAAAGGGAAACAAAAGAAAAGAAAACGAAATCACCAAAGATAAAGAAGAGGAGAAAGTAAGCAACCAGTCGCAAAAGGCATAAAATTAGTGCCGTTGTATGTACACTTGCTTGCGATCGTCAACAAAACGACGATCACATCCCATACTAAGCGACGACAGCTCGATAAAGCATCACCAGCATTCCAGTTGTCCCGGATTCAAATTCGTGTTTTCTTTTTTTGTTCTTTGCGACGAATACGACATCTGGTGAGTTAATTTAAAAAGAAAGTACAAAAGAAGGCAAAAGAAGGCAAGCACATAAGAGACACGCCGAGGAAAGAGCGACCCGATGAAAGTAGATATCGCGACTGCGTTTCTATAACTGTGTCTCACCTTCCCTTTCACTTGACATTGATGTTTTCTGTGGCAACTGCCATACACGAGCAAACTTGCTTAGTAACGCCACAGCCCTCTTTGAGGAGACAGTTAAGAGTTGCAAATCGCCGTTTCGCAAAGTATCACCATCTCATCGCCTACACCCGCCCGTTTCCTAAGAGCCATCGCAATCGGAAAGCATGAAGTGGTCCAGCTCGCTGTCGGCCCTTCTGGCCAGCACGGCCGCTTTTGTCTCGGCAAGCCCTGTTGCTTCTCGTGAATTGAAGCTCTACAACCTCAAGATTGTCGCGTACGTTTTCACATCGTCTCCGCCCGCTTTATTGTGCGTTAGTTCTATAGCTCCAAGTCGCTAACAACACAGGCCCCTCGCATCCAACCTCAACGGCCGCTACCTATCTATCAACCCTGACGGCAGTGTGGGCATATACTCCAACCACCCTGTCGACACGGGCGGAGTCCCGCCGAGCGCGCCTGTGCCGCCGTCGGCATCGTCTTCCCCTGCGAGCGGCCAAGCCCAGCCACCGCCGGCGGCCAAGTTCTACGTCACCCAGTCCGGCCCCACGGGATCCCCGGCGGCCAGCTACTACGAGCTGCACACCTACCCCATTGGCATCGTTGACCATGCGCTGGGCCTTAACGGCTCTGCGACTGCCGGTCTCCGCCACCTCGTCGACGTGGTCAACCCTGGTGCGGCCGGTGCCGGTACTGGCGGGGACAATGCGCCCGACTGGAAGTCGTTTACGCTGGACAACTTTGATACTCTCGCGGGCGGCGATGACAAGGGCGACGACAACGGTGCCGAAGGCCGTGCTGAGATTGACATCGCCAAGCGGATCCCACCGCCTCTGCCACTCAACGGTTTCTCGTACGGCGGCTCCGACCACGGAAAGTGGCTGGTGTTCCCGCGAGGCAGCAATACCTTTGTCGTGGCGTGGTATGATGGTAAGTTTTTTTTTATCCCTCCTTGTTCTCTTCCATTTTTGTTTTTGTTTTTGCTTGATACGTGACCTAACAACTTCCCCAGGCACATCGATCATTACTCAAAACTACCGTTCTGTTGATATCATCTACGAGCCGACCACAGCGTAAAACCCTGGCGAACAGTCAGTTCAGAAGGACATTACGACGATAGATGGGTGAGAGAGTTGAAAAGGAGACGACAGAAATTGCAAGACGTTGGCAGGCTATCATGTCTTCATGTTCGAGCTGCCTAGTTTTAGTCCGTGATGTGATGTGATGAAAGGATAATATCTTATACGTGACGTTATGATGCTCAATTCAATTCCTTTCTTTATCACGCCCATACTGTGCACTAGCTTTGCATGAACACAAAGCAATTGCCCCTTTTCCAGTGCATCCTGCCATCCTGCTATCACACACAGGTCGTGAGGCTGGGAAGCGATATAATGTGAAAGCTGATTTTTATACATTTTTTTGTATCTGTCTCTTGTCAGGGTGTTTTTATGTTTTTCGTAAAATAGACGAGCATATGTATATGCTCGTTATCCCCCTCTTTCTATGACCTTATTCCATCGACGACCGGCCATTTGTCTTTTTCTTTTTCCTATTTCAGCTTCCGAAGATCGGGCAGAATACCAAGTCTCTCTCACCCACTGCGTCTTTCCCCCAAACGCACACTCTCCAATCATGAAAATAGACAAAAGAGGAAATTTGAACTAAGATACCAAATTTCGATACAAGACAGATGAAAGGAACAAGAATAAAAACGACATGACAACTATGCACCATGCACTATGCAAGACGGGGGGTGCCAAAAAAGTAGAAATGCGGAATCCAAGACACAGCGGCCTTAGAACGACATCTCCTTCTTGATCTCGGCAATGGCACGGCCAGGGTTCAGGCCCTTGGGGCATGTCCGCGTGCAGTTGAGGATGGTGTGGCAACGGTACAGGCTCATGGAGTTTTCAAAGGCCTGCTTGCGTTCGGCCTTCTTCTCGTCACGGGAGTCGGCAAGCCAGCGGTAGGACTGCAGCAGGACAGCGGGGCCGAGGTACTCCTCCGAGTTCCACCAGTAGGACGGGCAGGACGTAGAGCAGCAGAAGCACAGAATGCACTCGTAAAGGCCGTCGAGCTTCTTGCGGTCCTCCTTGCTCTGGCGGTATTCGCGGCCCTACGAAAAACGGTTTAGTCTTGGGTTTCTCAGCACCATCTCGCCCTCGTTCCAGCCCTCTTCAAACTCACATCAGGCGCGGGAGTGTCTCTCTGCAGATACGGCTTGATCGACTTGTACTGCTTGTACAACAGAGTCAGGTCAGGAACAAGGTCCTTGACGACGTAGGTGTGCGGCAGCGGGTAAATCTTGGCTTCGGACGTGTCGGTGGGAATGCGGCCTGGATTGTCAGCAAGACGGAGCATGTCAACAGGAAAAGACGAAAAGAAAGAGTCCTGCAGGGGCGAAGGGCGACTTACAAAGACAGGCCAGGGTGTTGACGCCATTGATGTTCATGGCGCAGCTACCGCAAATGCCCTCACGGCACGAGCGACGGAAGGTGAGCGTCGGGTCCTGCTCGTTCTTGATGCGGATCAGCGCGTCCAGCATCATGGGGCCCGTCTTGTTCAGGTCCAGCGTGAAGGTGTCCATGCGCGGCTTCTCCGACGGCGTGTCGGGGCTCCAACGGTAGATCTGGAAGCTCTTGAGCCGTGGTGCGGCCTCGGCGGGCGCGTCCGACGTGGTGGCCATGGAGCGGCGCACAGATTGTGAGGGAGAGGAGGGCGAAGCGGAAGTCGACTTGGCGAAAGCAGCAGCCATTGGCCGGGCGGCCATCGACGGACGCGATGAGGCCGACGCCAGCAGGCGCATTGTGGAGGAGCGGAGAGCGGCCATTGCGGCGGTTAGGAGGCGAGGTCGGATGGAGACAAATGGGAGAGAGAG